CCCCCTTTCATATACCTCAGCCTGTGTATCTCTTTGTCCACTGTTCGTTGGTAGTCTTTGAAATATTCTCAGTAATAAAATTCTGAACCTAGATGTACAAGACACTATGTTGAAAATGAACTTTATAATTTTTTGAGGGGGAGTTGGGGAGGAAAGGGATGGTAGGGAAAAAACAAAGGAGAAGGTAACAAATTCTCGATAGGAAATGTACTCATTACCCTACTCAAGTAACTGTAACCCCTCTGTACAGTATTTTTACAATAAAAAATATATATAGAAAAAATCTGAACCTAGGTGGAAAGTTCTTAGCTACTTTGACCAATTAGTTGAATCTTAGCAGAGCCTCCTGGGAACTCCAATTTCTGACCCTAATTTGTTGGAAGTATAGGGACATCTTCTAACTTGCAACTGGCATCCAAAGCAGAAGGGTGGGGATTTCTCTTGTTTAAACAAACAATTAGCCCAGTGGAATCTGATACTCTCCAAAAGTAGGTGCGTTTCAGGACTGAATTTCAGGACTTCTGGCTAGTATCTGCTAGAGAACTGATGAGTACATAGAGAAAAACTGCCATGTCTAGAGTCACTATTATACTGAGTAGAGAGGAAAGGCTCTTTGACTTGTAATCCTGTATCTCTTTAGCCTCTGTGGCTAAAATATTCAAGCAGGGGTTGGTGGTGAGTGTGGACAAGACCCAAGAAACCTACCCCATCTGAAAGCCCATGGTTCTTCTGGAAGAAGAACTCAAGACCTAAATGTTGCAGGATCTTCTTCTGACTACAAATTGTATCCATCTGCTTGTGAGGTTGTTTTTCAAGGCCACTGACAAGGCAGGGACCCGAACAGAAGAGGCGGAACCACATTAGATCAAAGTTTTCTGTAGCACAAGACCCCCTAAGGTTAGAATTCTAAGTAGCTATGAACTTACCCATACTTTCCTTTAAGTCATCTCAGTCAGCATCATAAAGCCATGGGCTCTAAAATCTATAAGCAACTTATTACCATTAGGTAGTTACAATGTTAAGGGATAAACTTCCCTGAAGGCCCACCACTCTGTCATATAAACATAGTTCTATGCTATGTTGAATCTGAATGTCTCACATCTGTACTGCAGCTGCAACCTGGGATGTGACTCTCAAGCCTTAGTTTTACTAAACTATTCTGAGCCTCTTAGGTTTTTAAATCATTTAACAAGATAACTAATAACTCTCCTAAGGGATCTTTATCAGGCTAGCCAATGATCTCCTAAAATGTGTCACATAAAATTACTCCAAGTATCTTAAATATCTTCTGATTTATACAAAAAGGTACTAGAGTGATAAATTATGAACATTATAGCTCTCTTAGTTCAAGATAGGTCTTTCTGAATCCCACTGCTTTTAGCATCACTTAACAACCCTACGTGTAATTCCATGCAACAGGTCTCATTTCATATAACCATAGTTGTATTTGGGAGCCTGATGTTTAGTTACATTTCAGCTTACCAGTGTTCTGTTTGTTTACCAAAACCGTCCTGATTAGGGAGACTATTAGCTGTTGAACCAGTATGCCCTGTCCAGTTTATATCATCTGCCTTCTGGGTCTTCATCTAAGTCACTGATAATATTATAGATGATGGCAGTCAGCAATCCAGTCAACAGATATTTATCAAGCAGCTACAATGTGTAGGGCACTCCAGACAGAAACCAAAGGAACAATTACATTTATGCTGGGATGTGTGCTATAGTTACTTGTCTGCTTTCTATAAAGCCCTAGTCAGAGGTAAATGTCTTTCCTTCAGGACTTAATTCTACCCATTAGCCACTTCTTGATCACTTACTCTTCTCTTAGTATCATATTAAGAACCTATGTTAAGGAAACAAAGGATTTAAAGCCCAACTCTGTTCCTTGGAAATTTTTCCGTTCATTAGTGAGGCAAGCACACAAACCATTTATAATGCAAGAGAGGCAGCATTTATATACGTGACAAATGAGTAATATAATTTTAATTCAGGTTGAGATGTTAATGTCATTAAATATAATGTTGCAAAAATGAACTATGGAGTTTTAGAGCAGAGACACACCACCCTCCTTCTTACCTGCCGATATTAATCTCAACACATGGAAGGTCTTTTCCTTGGGTAAGTTTATTCTTTGTTGGATCTAACCATTAAAATGACATTCCAACATTCCCTTTGTTGAGTTGAAAACTACTTCCTAGTACTTTTCTATTTACAATGCAAGTATCCAAGGTTTTGTTAGGTAACTGAGTGAATGAATTCTATTTCTCTCTGTGAAGTAAAACAAAATGCTGGTCTGTTCTGACTATTTAAAGGCAACTGGTATATCCTCATTTAGTCTTTACTTTCCTAGCCTACACAGCTACAATTTCTTCATTGGACACAATTTGCAATCTCCCTACCCCTTTGCCATTCTTGTGACTCTATGGCTGGTACAGAGCTCACATTCAAGTTATGCATGCTGAATGATACACAAATCAATGATCTGGAAAGCTCCAGTTTATCGATATCAGCCTCAAAGAGAAATGTTCACAACCAAACATACTGCTGAAAATGTGATGTGTTCAGAAAAGACCTAGCACAGTTCCCTTGCTCTGAACAGTGTAATTCTACTAATAGTGTGCTAAGATCCAATGTCTTCTTTTTGCCTTGTATGTGGTTGGGGCGGGGGGGGGGGAGGGAACAATGTCCCATTCAGATTTTAACTTAAAATCTGTAAACTTTTAAAACAGGGCAACTAGATCACTGAGTGATCAATACCCATACAACTGGCTGTATATGAGGAAAGGCTTGACTATAGTGTTTATTTCCACATGGGAGAGAATGTTATGTCCCTCTGGGCATGCCTATCTTTCTAAAGTCACACTGGTGTTCTGTCCACCATGCAGAGTCTTTTGAAAATCTGAAGCTTTTGCATTGCTCTGCAGAGAGGAGGGGCTATGGATGGGAAAGTACTACATGACACCTGATGGGAAACCACAGGGTGAGCTGGCCTTATACCAACTAGACACCAGGATGCTCCATGGGCCTAACTACCCTCAGGAACTACTTGAATATGTCAGAGCCTGTGTTCCAGACAAAGACAAATTTTCCTCAAATTAAAAAAATAATCTAGGAAAACTTGAGACCACAAATCCCAGTAAGAGTTGACCAGGGTGAGAGCTCCCTTAAAAGCTATAAGCACAGTCAAGCAAGAATCAGCAAGGAGTCAAACAAAAGTAAAAAATGAAACTGCAAAAACTCTCACTACAGGGAAGACACAACCAGCAGCTCTTAGCTGAACACTAGGCTTTGGGTATGATTATTTCATTTATTCCCCAAAGAAGAACCCATTTAGGTCAATGTGACTGTCACCATTTTGCAATTGTGGAAATGGAGGCTTAGAGTTCAGACACATTTTTCAGGTCCCAGAGATACATGTTACAGCTAGGACAAGGCACCCCAGCTGCTGATCTCCAAATCCTCTGGCACTTAAGCACTGTTCCATGGGTTTATTTATTCTGTAACAAAAAGTCTATGTAAACCTCTATGGTCCATGCCTACATTAGGTGCCAGGGGAGATAAAGAGATAAAGAAAACACATACTGTCTCTGAAGGAGCTTAGTTCCTGGCAAGAAAGGCAAACAATTGCAAGCAACAACAATCAAATGGGAGAAGTGGAGGGGTAAGCTCATCCAGCACAGGGCCTCAAGGTCTTCCCTGGTGCAGTGGAGTCTAGAGCATACAGAACACGCTAGGAAGATGGAAGAGTTAGAGGGCAAGACTAGGAGTGAAGATTCCATTCATTTGGCCAGGAGTGAGAGACACTGACAGCAACTAAAGCACAGAGATGGAAGAGCCTAGGATCCCAGAGTGAGGTTACCAAAAGCCAAAACACAAGCTGGGGAGTTGGAATTGCAATCACAAATACCAAACCAAAATACCAACAACAACAACAAGCAAAATTACATGAATATCACCTTACTGGATCTCAAAAGATTCATGGGTAAAGACAAACACTGTCCTGTGGGAACTAATACTCTGGAATGACATTCCTAGGTTTATTCATTTCTTAGACCCTACAAAGTCTGTTCTGTACAATTTTCAAACCAAGAGCCAGGTTCCAGTGACCTACATCTGTAATCCCAGCTATTCAGCAGGCTGAGATCTGAAGATTAATCATGCTTCGAAGCCATGCCCAGGCTATGAGATTCATCTCCAATTCACCACCAAAAAGCCAGAAGTCTGAACTGTCGCTCAAGCGGTAGAATGCTAACCTTGAATGAAAAGGCTAAAAAGCTCCTGAATTCCAGCCCCAATATCAGCATATTCACTTTAAAAAGTTCAAACATCCCCTATTTCTTTCTTCCTTCTTCTCCAGTCAGTGTGAGGTGAGGGCTGGGTATATGAGGGGGGGAAAGGACAAATGCATTTTACCCCTTTATGTGACCCACAAAGCCTTGGAGAAATTCAGTGATCATCACAGACTCAATTACTGATTCCAATTCATCATCCCTTTAATAGTATTCCATAGTGATACATCGTGTACAATGTGGCAAGACTCTGTGCTGAGTGGAGTATTTTTCCCAAACCTGAGACTTTGTAATCCATTTTTATCATGGGATATTAGCAAACAAAACGTACAGTGTGCTTGTGTGATAGAATATTTCTTCTTTTATTCTGCCACTACCAGGAGATTATGCCCAGTACTCTAGAAAAATCACACAGAAGAAACCTGGACCTGGTCTAAGCCTGAGGCTAAACTCATCTGAAGATTTGTGGTTGTATTTCTGTTCATGGTTGGATGCCCTGGAATTCGGGGTGATTTGTTATGCAGCAGCAGCATGGAAATAGCTGACTGTTAACAGATGACTCTGAACTTTAAAACAAAGTTCCTGAAATACAATCAACTTCTCATGGAGTAAAAGCTGCCTAGGCAGCTGGCCCTCCAGAGAACAAAGCCATACAGATGACCACTCTGCTCTACCATTCCACTACGGTACTGCCCACCTCCTGGTACTCACCAGAGTCAGAAGCTGCTGGGCTCACCAGGCTGAGAAGCTCCCGTTCCTTTTCATAATCCCCTTTGCAGAGCAGCTGCCCCTCCTTCAGGACAAATTCATCACCCTTTTGAAGCTGTCGCTCACAAACACAGCAGCAGAAGCAGCTCAGGTGGTAGACACTCTTCTGAGCACGCATAACAAACTCATTGGGTGCGATGACCTCAAAGCAGCCTCCACATTTGACAGCAAACAGCCTGGCAGGAGCAGAGAAAGGGAGGACACTGTGAGGAAGGTCAGGCTTGAGTCTGAGTCTCCCCTCAGCTCAACAGCAAAAGGACTGTCCAGACTCAGGACAAAGATGCTGGAACTCAGGTTGTTTAATCTCCTCCTAGTCACACCCAATCAATAAAGTCCAGGATGGCCTGTAGCAAAACTAAAAGTTACAAAGACAATGTTTTTGTTTTTAATAGCCTGATGACACAATAATTTCTTTTGTAAAAACTCAAACATGTGCCTGAATATAATATGCCTTCAAATATCTCTGGGATTCCTGAACTATAACTTCATTTTACAGTCTCTTAAATAAATAGATATTTCCTCTTTAAAAGTAGCAGTACAATGTGTGTGTGTGTGTGTGTGTGTGTGTGTGTGTGAGAACTCACTCAAAATCACTTTCTGATTCTCTCCACACACCAGAGATAATAGAAGTGGAAAGGTCAGATGGTGTAAGGGAGAGAATAGCAAGGAGGAATAGACTGGCCAGAGCAAGGACATAAAGCTATACACCATTCCCCTCTTTAAAAGGAAGAAATACACTAACCCAAAGTATATTTAGGGAGCAGGTACCAGCGTGGTCAGCTAGTAAGGCCCTCTTTTACAGATCTAAGCAACTATGAGTATCAAGAAACATTTTCCTACCACAGGCCAACTACTGTGATGGCCTAAATTGGGCCAAGCTCACCTCAAAAACTCACTCATACACTTATTTATTCTTCTTTCATTTAGACAGAAACATCCATTATGTACCTTGTAGCCCACCATCTGCTCTGTGTCTTACTATGGAGACTGAAAAAGTATCTATCACCCCACTGGCATTCTTGTAGTCAAGTATATATTATCTGTTATGTGTCAGGCATCAATGTAAGCATACGAGAATACAAGACAAAATTCATTCCCATCCACCTACCCTCACATACTTATGAAAGAACATTAAAGAAACAAACAAACATAAAAGAACAAATAGCTCATAACTACCCTTAGGGATTTGTTGTTAGGAAACAGAATATAAGCACAATTCAAAGCAATATCCCATAGATATAAAATAACATATAGCAGTAGTATATATGGGAACTATGATATTTAATCAATTCTCAACCATGAAATAGTACCAGTTTGATTCAAAGTCAATATTTATGCACAATATGTTTATCCTGGCAGCTTCCTGAAAAAGGGAAGCATTTTGAGATGGTGGAGTGAAGAGGAAGCTAATGAGATGTTCACAAAGAGACACATACACAGAGATTGGGGCAAAAAAGAGAGGGACCATTCAAGTTCAGGCTTAGAGAAGGAAATGAAGTCATCTATAAACCAACCAGCTGCCCACAAACAGCTTCCTCCCAGGACAGAGGCCAGTCTGAAAGATTGGAAGTGGGTGTGCTACCTGATTTTCAACCTATGCTTTGAATCACTATACATATCCCCTCTATTCTTGGCCATCAGGAACACCTTAGAAACACCTATCTTAATACACCCCCCATCTGCCCTCAACCTCAGAAACGGGGCAAAGTTGGGGAACAGTCCAAATGGCTGTTATAGGCCATTTCACTACCAACAAGCTATACGAGAGCCCCTAAACCAGAATGCAAGGTACCAACAGATCCTTCTCTGTCCTTTTTCCAGCTACTCAGTGTGGATTTTCTCTTTCCTGAACTTCTACACTAACTCTAGTCTCTCAAATCTTTGCCTTTCCTCCCTCCCTCCTTGCTGGACGACATCCATTTTATAGAAAGTCTACCCAGCACACCCCTGAGTCCCAAGTCCCCCAGCCACTGTTTGCCAACCTGAGCAAATGAATCACAGCTTTTCCAGGAGCTGGTCAAAGGCTCTTTGTCCTCGAGCCCACTTCTCCTCCTCGTCCCCTGGAATGGACTGTTAAATAGACTCAAGGCAAGTGCTCACAAGGAGTCAACAAGCACTTGAGACGCGGCAGTGGCAGGTGGTAGCATGTGTACTTGGCCTTTCTAACTTCTACCCTGTTAATCTCCTCCTCCTCCTTTTCTTCCCATTTTATTTCATCCCTTACTCCAGAAGTGTGCCCCAAGTAAAAGAAGGAAGGGCTGGAGTGAGCTCAGCAACCAAGACCTGCCATGTTGATCAGGAGCAACCAGGGGAAGTTCCCATAGTTGTCTGGGCTCCAATCTTGTCTCTGGGCTCTGATCTTGTCGTGTTCATGGTCACTGAGGATCACAGACCAGAAGAGAAGAGTGGTGCTTTTTGCTTTCCAGTCTCCTTAGGTTTCTGCACTGGGTCCAAACCTGGTCTTCCTCACCTTACTAACTTGGCTCTTAGAACCCCAGAGCAATTCAAGGAGAAAAAGAGCATATAGTCCACCACCTGGGTACCAGATGTGTACACAGCTGTACTGAGTGCCACTGTGGACCCAGCTGCAGATTGCACACCTCCCACAAGTTGTTTTCTCTAAGGCTCAGACAAGCAGAGAAAAGGATTTGTTCAGAAGTCTAGGTCATAATTAAAACACAGTCTGTCTCTTCCTAATGCTGTGGATGTGTCCCCCATGGTTACTTCCCCCTCTGAATGCTAATGAGGCTTCGCTCTAGGTTCAGAGCCTGGCAGATTGCTGTGCCCAGGAAAGCTGGTCAAGGCTTCTGGAACTGCCAGATCATCTAGGCAGACATCATATTGCCCAGCTCTTCTAAGCATCATAAATTCTCTTACCCCGAATGCACCTTGGGATGGTCCTTTAACTCCTCTTCCCTTACCATCCCATCCCCTTACCAGTAGAATGAGAATCCTGGAAAAGCATCTAGTGCAGTACCTGTCCCAGAAACTAAGCCTTCCCCAACTAATGCCCTTCTGTCTGAAAGGGATCCCTATACTTAGAGAGCCACATTCTCCAGCAAGCAGCAGGTTGCATGGAATAGCACAGAAGAGCACAAAGGAGAGACCTTATCCACTCGGATTAGACTAGTAGTCACAAAAGTTTTTTCTTCACTTTCTCTTCTCTTCCTTACTCCTGCTATCTGTCCCACATGTCATGCCGGGCAGGAAGGAGCTGGCTAGAATTCCACCAAGTACTCAGCTTCTACTTCTTGTACAGCCACAAACTTTGGTGTATGGCTGTCAATCTTAGTGAGACAGTACACAGAGATGTGGAGCTCACAAGCCATACCCCCCAGAATGACTCAATTCTTGCAGCCTCAGCTTGCTCAGATGTTTAAGGCAGCCCTGGTGCCTATATTCCTGGGGCTGTAATGGTTAAATGAGAACATGTCCTCAAGCACCTATAAGGGACAGACTAGTTTTAATCATTTTTCTTGGCCCTACCTGTCTTTTGATGCTTGTAGATTTTTCTTCTCTCCCCAAAGTGGTTCTCAGTGCTCAAGAGTTTCCTGAGACATAATCCCCAAGAATTCCCTTCCTCATCATGAATGTGAACCCTCTTATGAGTCCCCCAAGCACTCGCATGGGCATGGCTTCATCTCCAGAGCATAACATTACCCAGAAAAATTAACCCAGGAGATATACTGCTGGTTGTGCTGACAGTGAGACAGAGCATGCTCCTGAGACCAAACCATGGGCCTGGCATCCTCTCCCTACCATAGCTCAATCATCCAAGGCAAGCACTGTGTATACGGCACTGCCAGGCCCTACCCCAGATGCCACTAGGAAAGCAAAGAAACAAAGGACATGGGACCTGATTCAGGGAAAGGGCACAAGCCAAAGAGTGAGAAGACCTGGACCCAAAGATTCTGTCTTTACTGGGGGGGGCCTGAGAAAAGACACCCATTTTCCTGGACCTTTGATTTGTTGTCTTGCATTTCTTAATGTAAGGTACTGTCCTAGACCAGTATTGTATCAAGAATGAAGAAAAACCCGTCTCTACTCCATCATTCCCCGTCTTGCAACAAGATACTGCATGTCCCTAAATCCAGGTCTCCCGACAGTGTTTCAGCAGGGCACTGCCTTGATATACTGATTCTCCAGGCAAAATCCTTTCCTATACTATGTCATTCACACAAAGATGACGACATCTTATCGCCAAAATATTAGATAGACAGGTAGATACAGAGATGTAGAGATATAAAGATGCACACAACAGATTCTAAATTTCCAGAAAAGGTGTCTTCTGGAAGATAGTAGTTTGCTCCTAAAATGCGTTTGAAACTACAGAGCTAGGTAATTTCTTAACTCTACATTTTTATGTGTTGGGAAACCTTACTACACAGGAGACAATGTCTCAAGAGCTGATAGGTGCAAAGGACTGACACTTGAGCACTACCAGGAAGCAAGTGTAAGGTAACCTACAGCAAGGCACAGAACTTGAGAAGCAAGGGTGTACCACAGTATTGCAAGATTCCTCGTAGTAGTATGATGCCACATTAAGAAGCTAGATGGTATGGTGTTAGTGTCTGATCTTGGGACAATCACTCCACCATTCCAAACACCTGGGGGTCCTCATTACTAGAACTTACTTCAGTCCTCCCAAATTACATTACTGCAAAAAGAAAAGCAGTGGACCAGAAAAAAGGGGATTTAAACTTATGGAATGTCTAATTATCATCAGGAATTGTGATGATCCTTCAATTCATTATGGCATTAAGTGAGTGGAGGAGAAGGGGCAGGGAACTATTGTATGAACTCAAAGAGGACATCACCTTATTTCACTTCAGCCAGGCTGGTGATGCCTTATCTCCACAGGAAGGGAGAGACTCTGGGGTGGGCAACTCATGAGTCTTTTTCTCATTTCTCTCTCACATCCTCTCCAGCACTGTCCTCACAGGAGAAACAGAAGGATCAAGCTGCTGAAATGGCAGCCTCAGCTCATGGGAGGACTCTGAGTAGATCCTAGGTTTTACAGGAGGTTCTTGCAGACTCAGGAGTTAAAAAGGAAGTTGATCCCTTTAGACTCCTCATCTCAAACACTGTAAAGCACCTAAAGCATTACTGAAAGAGGCCTGTCCTCTTTCGATCAAGGTTAGGAACGAAGAGTTATCGACCCAGCACCATCATGTGA